CGCCCGGCCCCGCGTGTGGCAGGGCAGGGCAGGACAGCCCGGCTGCAGTGACTTACCCTCCCCGTGCCACCCCAGGGGGACCAAAACAGAGGGTGAGGCTGTGACAGGAGTGAGCCAGGGCAAAGCCACGGCAAGCAAGGCTGCCAACCCACCCCCCTCCCTGTGCCCTCCATACCTACCCGGTGCAGAGGTCACTTCATGCCTGTTATCTGACCCTCACTACTTGCCCTGACTAGTGCTGGGCTCTGGCAAACGGAGCCCAGGTGACAGCACCACCTTGCCCAGCCCAGCTGGACACCCCCTCCCAGCGCAGGGAGAGAGGGGCACAGAGGGTCCCCAGCCTGAGGGCGATGCCCCGCAGCAGCAGGGTACTTACACGTCAATAAGGTACTCGTAGTCCTGGTAGTTTTTTGAGAAGTAGGTCTCAATGAGCTGTTCCGTGCCTGTGAGGGCCTCGTGCCCACAGCCACAAAACAGCGCTACCCCGAAGAAGCACAAGCCAGTAGCAACCAGTGAAGCAAAGGGTGCCCCGATGAGACATCTGGCACAGCACTCGAGCAGACCTGGGGAGAAGAGAGGTGAGGTGGGATGGGACTGCTGGGACAGGAGCACTCAGAGCCTGCAGCTCAGGAGAAGGCAAGCACGTGAGGAGGAAGGTGCTGGGCAGGAGGAGGGAACAGGCTGAAGGAAAACCCAAAAATGATTCATTGTGGTGCTGGAGAGCCCAATCCAGCAGCTTCTCTGAGAGCTCTCTAAGCAGCCAGGATAGTACCCAAGCATGCCCAGGGACAGAGGCAGCAGCATGGCAAAGCAGTCCCTTGGGTGGACAGGGAGCTGAGGGGAGCCAGCCATGCTGACCCATGCAACACAAGATGGAAATACAAGACTATGTAGCACAATACCAGTGGGACCCAGCAAACAAGCTGCTAATGGGCTCCCTGCTGCCATCACAGCCCAGCTGAGGGCAATGACAGTTCCAGCTGCCTGCCTTTTTCTTGGTTAAAGATGGAGGGGAACCCAGCATCTCCACAGAGACAAACACCATTGGAGACCCAGCAACGTGGCCTGGCCTCAGGGCAGGAGCAGCCAGCACCTTGAGCACCCCAGGCTTCTGGGCAGCACGGCAGGTCACACTCATCCCCTCTCCTGGCACTCAGTGGACAGTTTGTGCTGCACCAGCTCTGTTACACAGGCAGATGTGGTTATGGGGAAGAGCCACATTAATTCCCCCAATGTCAGCACTTATAGAATAGATTTAGTTCCCCAGGACAGATATTTGGCAAGCAGGCACATATACCTGTGTGTGGGTAGGGAAAGGTGAGGGCACATGCCAATATTCTGCTTGGTTTGCCTAAATGCTAAAGTTTTTCAGCAGTGGGGCCAGGGGCACCTGCTCCTTCTGCACATCAGGGCTCTAACATGCAGGAATCTTAGCCCAGGTTCCAGATGGGCTGGGTTTGGATATGCCCAGCCAGCTCCACTCCTTCCCAGCTTGGGGGCAGGCAGCCAGCTGGGTTTGCACCCATCAGCATCTGGCTCTGGAGCAGCAGTTTGGCTCCATCTGAGCTGTGAGAACCTTCTGCCCGGGCTGGGCAACACTCCTGTGCAGGGAAGCTGCTCCCCTTCCTCAGGGTGCTCCAGCACCCCACTGTCCTGGTGACAGTGGCTGCCTGGGCACATCTCTTTGGGCATAGCATTTGTGCCTTGAATGCCAAAAAGGCACCCGTGGGAAACGTTCCCAAACCCACGCTCCCTCCACGGATCTCACAGTCCTTATCTCCTCCCTCAAAGGACAAGAAAGCCATGGGGTCCTGGCCAGCAGTGCCACCACCC